CAAAATCAGGCAAAGCAGGCAGGCAGATTGAGTTGCTCACAGAATCATTCAGTGATCTATCCATCTGCCATCGGCTAGCTCAGTCTGTCACATAAAATTTGCTTGCCGTGAGTCTGCACTGAATAATAGAATCTTCAGTCCTAAGGGAGGTTCGGCTGTGCTGAGCCAAAGACTAGCTAGAAAGCAAGAAATCCAACCATTTTCTGCTTCCTAGCTAATCTAAATCTTCCAGCACAGCAGAACAGATGATGGTTGGAAAAAGGAAAAATAGCAATTTACCAGGGAAGTTTGTCGGGTAAGGAGTGAGTGGGCGGGGAGGGTTCCCGTGGGCCATGTTGGCGGTGCAGCCTTGTGTTTCTGCGCAGCCTGGATTAATTGCTTTGTGAGGGTGCTCTGGGGGTGAGATTTCTCTGCGGCCCACCAAAATTTTCTCACGGCCCACCAGTGGGCTGCAGCCCACCAGTTGGCGACCGCTGATATAGACAGCTCAATCCCCATTTTCAAATTTTGCAGATCTCTCTGCGAGCAGAACTCTGGATATTTTTTTAGTACATTAAGAAGATAGTCTTTTCTATCAGTCTGGTTCAGAGTTGGTGCCAGAATTGGGCTAGTGCATTCCGTATGTTTTGGGCTGCATTTCCTATAATCTGTTTTCATGTGCCTTATTATCTGTCAACTGGTAGGTTTAATTTCTTAAATTCAAATGGAAGGTGTTCTCTTTGCAATCACTGCCATAAGAGGTCACTGTTGTTGCTTGTATCATCACGCATTAGCACAGCCTTCCCCAACTTGGTGCATTCAAGATGTACCAGAATTGCAGTTCCCAGTTGGAAATTCAGAAAGTTGCAGTCCCAACATATCTAGGAATGCTCAATTGAGTGTTAGCAGTAGAAAGCTAATCAAAAGGAATCTTAAAAGAACCATCCAAATGTAAGTGCTCAATAATATTGTAGCTGGAGTTATAAATCAACATTTAACAAAGTGCAACCAATTAGTATCTTATGGACCATAGGAATACAGAATGTTATTAGAGGGGGAAAGGTTTAAAAATACTAATGGTGGTTTATTGTAGACATTGGTCTGCATTCCAAAAGATACTTGTATTGTTTTCTGTGAACCTACCTTTCATTCCAAGTATTTCATACTGACAGTCTCACAACTCCTTTTATTCCTTTTTTTATTCTTTATGGGTATAGTTTCCTTTATTTCTTTTGCAATGTCTTATTGCTGCATGCACATAACATAGAATCTCTTTAAGACAGAAACCCCAGCCTATCAACGTGGTACCTTGCTGACAATAAAGAATTTGTCTGGTACTACTCTGAGAAATAGCCAGCAATAAATCAGCTTTCCTCGGTCTGATTTTAACTTCAGATCCCTGAGTGAAGGCTGGTGAAAACTTCCCAAATTTATTGTTATAAAAGTCAGTCCATCATCTTTGTATCTGTCTAATCAATTTGTTTTTTGGATTTTGGGTGTCTGGTATTACAGGGTATTGCTTCCTTTTAATTTGATAGACAATTGATTCTAAAAGAACAAGTCATACTATGGAGTAGATATTTTTTTCAGAAACATATGTAATATGGTGAGATTTCCTCGAACATCCTTCCATCTGATATAAACATAGTTACCTTCAGTGCCCGAGAAAGATGAGACCTATTTCTCCCAAATTCTCTTTCGGTGGAGAATACAGTTCAGAGGGGAGTATATAGTAAGGAACTCACGTTTGTTCTCTTAGGAGTAATCAAGCATATTGCAGAATTAATGCATTCAGATCAGTAAAAGGAAGGCTCCATTACATCCCTTTAGGGGAAAATATAATTCTGCTATCATTCCCTTTTCGTGCATATGTTAGTTTATATATTGCAAACAGCTAAGTCTTCAGAGGAGGCAATTGGCTTATTTGGTCAACAAGTCCCAATTACTCAGAGATGAAACACAATATTAGTTTCATTATATGAATTGCTTTACAAAAATGTTTTTGCTACTTTACTTCCAGAGAGCATATATTTATTAGATTTTTATCCCACCTTTATTGCTTTGTAACAGGGGTCCCTGACCCCTGGGCTGTAGCCCGTTGGGAACTGGACCACCGAAGAAATAGGTGAGCGCCCAAAGCTTCATTTGAGCATGTGCAGGATTTAGATTGCATGTGAAAAACCTTCCCCCCACAGCAGAAACCGCCAAAGCCGCTGCCGTTAGTCCATGGAACAAAAAAAAGTTGGAGACCCCTGCAGTCCCCAACCTTTATGGCTTGTCTTGGCAGGGGGGAAGAGGGGAACTGGCTCATGCAAGAGGTTGGCCGGCATGTGCATGCATGAGCACACCGGCTCACCACTTGCGCAAGTCAAGATGTGCTCACGTGCCAGCCTGCCGCTCACGCAAGTGGAACTGCATGCACATGCGCCAGCCCACCACTCAGGTGATGCAATTCTAAACCGGCCATGGCCCGGTAGTGAGCAGAAGCCCAGGGATTGTGGACCCCTGTTATAAGTAACTCAAAGTGACAAACATATTCCTTCCTATCTCCTGTTTTCCCCAAAACAATAAACCGGCGGGGTGGGGAGAGAGTTACCTTTAGCTTTCATGCTTAAGTCAGAATTAGAACTCAGTCTCCTGGTTTCCAGGTCAGTACATAACCGCTAACCAAACTGGCTCACTCTCTTACATAATGGCTTGCCATTAAGTTCTCCATGCCACTGTTTATTGGGAAGACCTACCCAAAGTGAATGAGTAAAAAGAGAATGTTTTGGGAATGTGAGCATGGAACGGGGGTGGGGGAGAAAAACTGCTGTTAAGGCAACATCCCTTGCCTTTAGCAGCTCTCCCCTGCCCTTTCACTCTTCTTCAATCTGACTGGTAACTTGGTTTCCCTTCACAGTTAATAGATTTACAGAAGTTTCCGTTAAGCTCTTTGAATTGATGGTAAAAATCGGCATGAAACCCTGTCCTCATTATTCTTGTTAGGATGGTCGATTGAGACCTGGTGACCAGCTTGTATCTGTTAATGGGGAATCATTGATTGGAATCACCTATGAAGAGGCAAGAAATCTAATCAACCAAACACAGCCGAGGTAACCATTTGTTAGAAAACCAAGCATCTCAACATTCGTTTTCAGATTATGTTCATGTATTCAACTCTCTTAAAATTGTCAAAAAGAGTTTTTGGACATGTGCTTCTGAAAGTGTGTGTGTGTGTGTGTGTGTGTGTGTGTGTGTGTGTGTGTGTGTTTTGTAAGTAATCATAGGAAATTAAAGTATACGAATGGGCTTCATTGAATTGGGCAGAATGTATTTTGATAATTTCAGATGAGTTGTCTTTGTTTTTCTAAACTGTATGCCTGAGTCACATAACGTTAAAAAAAATTAAGGTCTTCACAACTAAACTATAGGTAGTCCTTGACTTATGGCCACATTGGAGCCCAGAATTTATGTTGCTAAGTGAGACATTTGTTAAGTGAGTTTTCCCTTATTTTACAACGTTTCTTGCCACATCTGTTAAGTCAGTCACCGCAGTTGTTAAATTAGTAACACGGTTGTTAAATTAATCTGGCTTCCCTATTGACTTTCTTTGTCAGAAGGTCGCAAAATATGATCACATGACCCCCGGGACTCTGCTACCATTATAAATATGAGTCAGCTGCCAAGCATCTTAATTTTGATCATATGACCATGAGAATACTGCAATGGTCATAAGTGTGAAAAAAGGCCATAAGTCATTCTTTTCATTGCTGTTGTAACTTCAAAAGATCACTAAACAAATTGTTGTAAGTCAAGGTTCACCTGTACTCACCTCTTATATCAAAAGTAAAAACTGTAACAAATTTTAACCTTAATGAATTTGCTCCCTGAATAACTAGAAAGCAACAAAAAAAAACCTATTACTTGGAAGGACTCAGCATATGATACCTGTTTACCATCTTTTTCATTCATTTAGATCAAATACTTCTTGGGAGATAACTTTCATTCGACATGATTCTGATCTTGATGAAGTGGAAAATATGCATCCATTCTCCAATCTGCTAAGTTCAGAGAGATGTGAACTACAGAATGATCTACCCAGTCCAACATTGTCTTATAAAGAAAATGTTGCTGCCGAAAAATCTGTCCTTGATATGGCAAGTTTAATTTTTCAGATAAATTTTTTGCTTTCCTTAAAGAATTGCTCTGCTTTCAGTGGAATCATTTTACTGAATCAGCACCTAATAGATCCTGGCTGGTTTAAAAAACCTGAACAGGGAGACTTATTTAGTACTTCGATCGGAAATCATTGGGAAATAAGGCTGCAAACTAATCAAGGAACAACAATTTTAAAAATTTTGGAGGATAGCAGTGTCAAGCAATCTGCTCAGCCATACTCATGGAGTTAATAGGAATTGACTTCACTTCCAAGAGAACTTTACAGTTTAATTTTGCAAAATACATGACCACAATCAACTGTAATAAAAAATCCATAAAATCAGATTTCTTGCAATGTTGTTTATGCATTGACCATTTTATGAATTTAGACGTGACTATTGTCTTCTGTAAGGGCATACCCAAATATTTCCAAATATATAGCACTAGGTGAGCATTTATTTGCATGAGACAGTTCCTCGGCAAGACTTTAAAGAGAATTCTTTTGGGTTTTCTGGGCGAGCTCATGAAGCTGCATTTGCACACATGACATTCACGTATGAAACCACCCCCTCCCCCTGCCACCACCTGGGAACTGGGCCATGCGAATGGTGGGCAAGCACACAAAACCGTCCCCTCCACTGTGGCTGGTCCGCAAAGCGGGAACCGCTGTTCTAGATGGAAGCCATTTTTCCCTCAATTATTTTAAAAGTTACATGCCATTCGATTTCCAGTGATTGCTAATAATTAATTGAGGGGGGGGGAATCAACAAAGTCATAAGAAAAGAAGATGGGATTACTGATTGCAAGGTAACAAAGTTTGGACCCTGTAAAGTTTTATGAATGAGGCATAACTATTACATGAGAAGCAGTTTGTTTGCAAACATTCACTGTTTATCTGTCTACTTTTCAGCACTTTTAAGGCAATTTGCAGTTTAAAATTATGCATGCTAACATAATAATGCATACTTTCTGAAAAGAAGAAGCAAGAAAAACAGAAATTAAGTAATCAAAGAGAAAATAAACTAAGAACAAGCTCTTCATGCTCATTATTGCCAGCTGAATAGGACTGGGTGTCATGTTTAGTTTCATCCTATTGCTACTTCTGTTGTACTTTTTTTTTCTTATGCATAAAGCATTCGATGTAAAAAATTCTGTACATGGCTATTGCTATTGCTGAGGAGAGTATGACTATCAGATGCCTAATGAGCTATGTAAATTACACACCTTCAACTTAAAGCATCTGGTTATCTACTAATTAGTACTATCACAAATAATTTATTTGAACTCCTGGCTTATACATGGCACAACTCACAAAAATAACTTGTTCTAGTTGGCTTGGCTCTCCAATCTTATGTCCTCTGTATATGTTGCCTTTCAGCTCCCAGCAGGCATGATTTTTATTATATTTCTTGGATATTACGCAGGGCATAAATTTAACATATCACAGGGCACCAAGGCTGGAGAAAGCTGTTTTGGATGAACGAAGTGGCAGCCTGAATTTTTTGCACAAAGTGGATTCATATTTACCCACTTTAATTAGCTTTATGAAAAGAAATAAATCTCTGAAAAACATCACTCTTTCTTTTGAGAAAAAATTGTTTTCATTTATTCTTAAACTATAGGAAGCAGCTTTATTCTGAGAAGATAATTAGTATTAAAAATAATTGATTGTCTATATTTGCTGTTAAATTAGATGGCACTTCTCTAGACAGATGTTTAATGCAGAAGAAATATTTTTAAATAGCCTAAGGGGGAGTATATGTCCTAGACGATGTGGGCTGGTTTCTCCATTATCAGCATACTTCCTTTATGGAGAAACCTATCTGAATAGAACATGATTACATCAAGGCCTGGGGGAAAAAGCAGTGCACAAAAGGCATGCTTCTGTTTGAAATAAACCCTCAACTAAAAAAAAAGCATGCTGCATTTCCCAGAGAAATTTCAATACCCAGAATAATGTGGTTATGAAAAACTTTCAAAAAAGTCTTTGCAAGGCCAGGTTTCTATACAAAACAACCTTTTTTAAAATTATAAAGCAGTTGTATCAACTATAAGATTCATGTGACTACTTCAAAAGCAGTTCTTACACCTGTGTAGATGCACAGCTGTTTTGCGTCATGATTTTGCCCAGACCTAGAGAATATTTTGTTCCACTGAGTGGTTGACTTTGATTTTGTGTTTCTTTTTGGTACTGACTGAGAAGGGACTTGCCCTAGATTAGACTGGAATTCCAATTAGAATCCAAAATCCAAGAACTGAGCCCTATTGAATTGTTGGAATCTATGCATATGATTGTACATTATATAAATATACTATCATATACATAAACTCCACCACCAGAGGAGAGAACAGAAGTAGGGAGAATGCAGAATGGATATTCTACAGATTTTTAAAACTGTATTTGACAAATTCTGTCTTCAGTGTTTCTAAAATACCAGCATGTGGTTTTAATAAAATTTGCATAAGTAATGTAGAACATGGTGGTGTTTATTTTTAATGGTATTAATAATTTCTAACTTGTTAAGAAATCTCATGAAACAATGAAATCCTCAGTGCTACAGGTTTACTTAGAAATGCCTTCATCTGGCAAGTTGTAGATTACTTAATGCAGGGTTTTGTATGCACATATTTGGGGAGGGCAATGAATTATCACTGGATCACTGGTACTCAACATTATCATTTAGGCATTCTCTGTATGAAACAAGGGAAAAATTATACAAACTAGCTCAGTTCGAAGAGTCAGTATTATATAGTAAATTGATTGAAAATGGTTTTCAACATAGCATCTGACAGGTTGATGGGTTCTTTAACTAGGATCTCTTAGTGAAGACTAGCATGTTACAAATCCTGAGATACTTATGCTGCTCCTGTGTCTAATGGAGCACTCCCCTCTTTTTTTGGCTCTTGATTTAATTGACTTCATTATCATTGATTGACACAAGCTTCTGATAAAGTTGTTTGTAGCTTGCTCTATATTTACTCTGCCCCTTCTTTGGGGCCACATCATAACTTTAGGAAAAAAGCACTTGCAGAAATACCCACTAGTTCTAATCCTGTTTGAGACGGAAAATCAATACTATCGAAAGGTTCTGCTAATCTTTATTCTATGGACTACTAAGATTACTATAGTAAAAGTATTATTTGGCACACCTTGATAGTTGTTATAGTAAACTTGTTGGGCAAAATGCAAGCACATTTTTCTCCATAATAGACTAATAATTTAGTTAATAAAAGTTTGACATCAGTCTGGGACCCAACCTACTTTAGAAAATAGTACTTCCTAATTTTTATGTTTTTCTTTCACAGATGAAAACTGGATTCAAGAAAGGAGAACAATTTTCTGCATTTTCTACAGACAACAGTTCCATTGATGTATCAGCTGGGGGTAAATGCTTGTTTGTTCACCCTCTCTTTGTTGTTACTACTTTTCACATGAGTAATATGTAATTTGTTTCCTTTTCTTTAAAAAAAGAAGTATGCGGACTTTTTCTTTGACAATGTGAATGAAAAACTGAAACGAATGAATTGTTGAGGTATCTTTTTTCCAGGGACAACCAAATAAAAGTTGATTGTCCTTATTTGTAACTTTTGCTTATATAATATAGCTATTGTATGGCTATTGTAAATCTCAGGGTACAATACAAACTTAGTTACACCAAGGAAGATGCAAAGACTTAGGTGAAGCAAGTAGGCCTTTGTGTTGATGAGAGTATGGATGAGAATCCTTTTAAGAAACCATATATACTGTTTTAAGTTCCATGATGAAAAAATATATATAAGGATATAAATATAAGGCAGGATGAAAGCCTCTTCCACATGTTTCCACCCAATACGGTCCTGAGCTTTCTCTCTCTCATATACACATATACACATATGCATACACACATGTGTGTGTGTGAATAATTCACCAATGTCCCAGTAAAAGTTCAACTTCTGAAGACAGTATATGACAGTATATATAAATATATATGACAGTATATATAAATACCCAAGTTATTTCTGAGATCTGTTTTTTGAACAATAGCTCCCTCCTTTCCTACTTGTGTGACCACCTATTTTAAAACAAGGAAGAGTTTAAGGACAGTTTGTGATACAGCTATTTCAAAAGAAGAACAGAGTCTCCTTGGATCATATCTTAATCTTTGGAAAGCTTGAAGCAGAACACTGGCTCCCATTCACAAACATCTCTTGTTTAGTGAAGGGAAGAACAAGCGCGCAAATTACTAAAGGTTGCAAGTTTCCCACGCCCTGTGTTACTCCAGATCTGTATTGGGAAGAATAACATATTAGAGGCCCGCCTTATATCATGTCAGTGCTGATGCTGGGTGAAAATTGAAATTATAATCAAACATATAGTATTTTGAGACTTATCAGTTTGAAAAGCCTTGCATCATGCGGTTATTGTGATTTTTTTTGGGGGGAGGGGGGGGAAGTAATTTGCCAAGGGAGTTTTTTCCAGAAAAAAATAATTGCCATAAGGATGATTTTCATAAGTATATTCACAACCAATCAGTCTTCTGTGTCTTGTTAAAAATGTATCGCAGGTATAAGCTATGTGTTTCTATCGTAATATGACCTTTACTGTTTAAAGAATACCTTTTAGTTCCACTTTGTCTTTGTCAATTAAACCCCAGATATATGTGGTTGTATTTCCCATCCCTCTTAATTTCTTGGTGGATAAATATAAAGAGACTTAACAGCATCTGTAAGTTTCCATTTTAATAGCATCTTTCTTAATATTTAAAGGGAAAAAATAATCAATATTTGGCATTCAAGTGATTAGCTGGATTGTTTGAACAGCAGGAGTTTAGAACATATCCTTCAGCAGAAAAGAAGTCCAATTAAATTTCCAATTAATATGCAACCTGTTGTCTCATAGCTGTTATCCCCTCCTGGAGAATTGATTACGGACCACAAAAGAAGATTTCCCTCAATCCCTCAGTACGCCTCAAAGCAGATAAACTAGAAATGGTAAATGTCTCCTTATTTTAATATTTGTTCTTAATGTAATGTGATAGCTTTCAGAAAAGTTTTCATAATTCATTTTATTGTTATATTACTTCAAAATAAAATTATTCCACTAGAGTCAATAATTAATTCATCAAGCTTATAACTTACAATGCTGCATCTATATTGATATGAGTTGAAATTATTTAGTCAGAATTGAAATGATCTAACTGTATCAATCTGTTTAGGAATTTCAGTTAAAGCTGTGGTTTCATTTGTTAGCTTTTGAAATGCTTAATGTTTGTTTGTTGTTTTGCAAACTATGTAGATGTTGATTTATTCATTCTGGTGTACCCTGTTCCCTCTCCCACCAAACAGTTGGAAATAAGTTGCAGGTGCCTTCAAGTAACCTTGCATATTTTCTTGTGGTATTCTTGCATTAGCAGCTGTTATATTTTAAGCTGCAAGCCATTTCAGAAAACGTTAAGTTGCCTTTTCAGAATAAGGAGCTAGTGCAACAAATAAAGCTATGCCTGAAGATCACATAATTTATAGAGTAAATATTAACTTACAGGTAGGATCCCAAGGGCCAAGTGTGGTTTTTCCATGCCTTCATGCTTTGCTCATTCTTACCTAACCAACATGTTTCCATCTGGTCTTTGGCAGGGCATCCAGGTAAATTTCAGTTGGCATCAAACTTGCCATCTTTTTTAGTCAAGACAGAACAATAAATTGTCTTAAGATTATAAGAGCTGTTGGGATCAAGGCAAGAACTTTTCTAATTCTGCATTTTCTTTGTCTATTATTACATTTATACCTTATATATATAAAGGACACATACACATCACTTTTTCTTTTTGAACTCAGGGTGGTATATATAGAGGTTTTGCCTAATTTTGTCCTCAGAACAATAACGCTGTAAGGTAGAGTTTGCTGAAAGAGAAAGATTGACTCAAAATCACTCAGTAAAATGGGGGCATGAACTTGGGTTTTCCCAGTCCTTGTCCAGCACTTGAAATGCGATGCCACACCAGCTGTTTCCACAGTGCCCCTCTGATTTCATAGCCTATCTCAAGTTCATACATTTTGTCCAAGGAGATTATAGATGTTATTGTTCTGCAAACTAAGATATTTTGAGAGATCTGATAAAATCATCCAGTTCTGTGGAAAACTTTATGCTTTTCTGGTTTCTATCCAGATATGACTATGTTACTGATTTTCCATGCCAACAGATTTTCTTTGTTTCTCTTGCATCTATTTTCTCCTTTAAAACCAACTTATTCAGTTTCGTTACTGCCCAATTCCAGATTTACTCTGGGTGGCTTTCATGGATAACTCATGTTTTATACTTACTTTTTTATTCTTTCTTCCTTTTGAATATGCCACAGTCATTTTTATCTTTATTAGACAGAGATGATTCTTCTTTGAACCAGATGCTCACTAATTTCAGCCATGCTTTTCTGAGTTTACACGAAATGACATTGTGCCAGTTTAATTTTAGTGCCAGCATTCTGGTCTATTTTGTGAAGTCCAGATTTGTCAGGAAATGTTTCATAATACCTAATAAATCTAACCTTTTTGTCTCTAGCATCCCTTTTCAGTCCACCTCAATCAGCCATAGTATCCTGTGCACAAAACATAACTTTTCAGAAAACAATATTTTGTCTTTCAAACTTTTCAGCAACTTAAATTAGATTTTTGTTCAATTATGAAAACATTTCTTTGGCTTTCAGCTCTGGTTACATTGACCAACAATTGTGAGTAGTTTGGGACTATAGCATGTCCTGCTTGCCCAGGTTGCCAAACAAATTAATGGCAACAAGATTGAATTCAAGACCACACAAACAAAAACAAAAATTTAACCCGCAAGGCAGTTTCCATCCTAGTGCAGTTGAATAAAAAGGCTATATCTTTGAAGCCAGATTCAGTGCACAGTTGGAAAAATATGCACTGCGGAAATAAATCACCTCCACATCTTTTGTCAACCTGTAGTTTCAAGGATTCCTCTGAAGGTTAGAACATGATGTGCCTTTCTATAGCATGTTAGTTCTCCAGAATTTCTGAGAGATTATTTTAGTTCTGAGGCCATATTAACAAGTTTGCTGATTCTTTACAATGAAAATAATTTGACACTGAAATTATATGAACTATCCTTTATGATAGTTAGAAATTTCCTCACCAGCTTCTTAGGTTTCAGTCCTCAGTCATCCCCACAGTTGTTACATTCATGAGTCAGCATGCATTTAACTTTGGAGATGACAAGGGCATAATAGGAGGTCACCCATTCTTCCTTCACCCTGTTGTATATTAAAATGTCATCATTATTTCTTACATTCTTGCTTCAAACATACCTGAAAAAAGTATTTTAGTTGCTATACTCAGCTTATTCTAAATCCTAGCTTTCCTATTTTGTCCTATCCTATATCTCTCTATCTATTCTGTCTTCCATGTTCAGGTAGTTTCTTGTTTTCTGATCCTCATTAAACTTTTCATTTGTGTCTTTTTTGTTGCTAAATAGAATTGTTAGTCATTGTGTATCTAATCTCCTTTTCAAAAAATATTCTTCTACCAAATCTTAGGCTTCTTTTATAAGAAAAAATCTCATTCAGATCATTCTCAGTTCCTCATAACCATGAACAAAACCATCAATATGTGTTTTTTGTCATTACAGTAAAATATAGAAATAATTTGCTATCATTTCTTCTGGAATATTTTTTAGAACTTCCCAGCCCTGACAATTGCTGGAATTCTTCCATTCGGGTTTAAACTAAACCAAACTCTGCTTATTTTCCAAGCTCAGAGAAGGTCAATCTGGTAATGTCACTTGTTGAGACAGGCTTCTTTTAGATGTTAGTATCTGTACATTCACCTAATTTAGTGAATTCACCCACCCTGGACATTAACATCTGAACCACTATTAGTCCATGTATTTGCCACACACAAAATAAATAAATAAATAAATAAATCTTTACATTGAATTAAACTGAAGCATTTGATTTTTCATTTAACTGAAAAGGTTCTGGGACAAATTTACAAAAATTAACAAGACAGCCCTTGCCCTCAGGCTTGTGAATGAAAACAATATGGCACAAATTGAAAAAGAATTGGGCAAGGGGAGAAAAAAAAAGTTCTCAAAAGTATTTGTTCCTACAGGAAAACTTAAAGCAAATTCCTTGAAGACGCTGAAGTGTGGAACCACTTTAGTCTTTCCTTGGGATAACGTCCTTGGAGTACAAAAGATGCAGTGACACAGTAGCCCTTGGTCTAGTAGCATAAACTGAAGTCTCGGGGTAATCTCCTATTTGAACTGAATGCTTTTTCTTCTTCTAAAAACAGAGATAAATCAAGCTGCTGTTCTTCTCTGGTTGGTAGAATCCAACCGAGTAATTCTCTAAGCTTGTTAATATCTAAAGAACCCTTGATCACAGTCATATTTAGGTTTTCATAAAATCATGGATTTGATGGTTTCAGTTATTTCCCTCATCTTTAGATTCCTGATACTTTAATATAATTGACCAGCGCCTCCCTTCTGTCTAGAATTACATGAAATATAGTCAGTGCCATTCTTCCTTTATGCATTTTTCAAGGAGTTAAGTTGAGAGAAACATATAATAAGAATTTCTGGGAAATCCCAAACTTAGTGAATGGAGTGAGTGAGTAAATGAATAATTGAATAAATGAATGAATTGATTTTATTACGATCACTGATCCATTCATGAAAGAAGAAATGAAAAATAAAACTCACAAAACTAAATAATTATAAAAGTAATGTCGAAGTACAAATTATTTTACAAATAGTAAACCAAAAACTAGCCACATTGTGAAGAATGAAATTATATTGGCCATGTTGATTGTAAGTGGAATGAACCCAGTTAGCCTACAAATCTGACATGGTGAGGAGTTATAAACTCACTTCTCTCTCTAATGAAAGCAGTTTAGCAAAACATGGCAATGTTTCAATAACTCTTCACTGAGGAAGAGTCTTTGTTCAAATAGAATATCATGAAATTATACATTAAATCTTGCCAGGGCTCTTCTGACTTTGGGAAATGTTATTTGACTTAAATATTTTGCCAGCTTGAAAAAGGAGAGATGACTGCTCAGGGGCACATGTTTAGGTAGGACAGCTAGATCTAATTGGCTTTCCAGATCTGTGGCACATTGTTCAAAGCCTGCTCTGTAAGGTCACATCCCATCATTAGAATTGTTTCAGGAAAGAAATCACATACTTTAATTTCTCATTTGTCCTATTTTAGGATGAGACAAAAATCAATTAAAATCAGGAGGCCAAGCTCATGGGATGGAAAAGTAGTTTAACCAGTATGAGAAGAAGCATATCTAAATATGTGCCTCAGTTTTAGTCATGTTGGGACCTAAGTGCAAATCTACATTAGGAACTCCCTGTGGAACTTAAAATATATACCTTAAAAATATAGACTTCTACCCTCCAAGGGAGTAAAGAAGCTATATGGTCCCAATTGGGCTCTGGACAGAAGTTGTGCCTAGACTGTAGCCAAAAATACTTTCAATGCACCAGGTATGAATAACACTCCTCCAAAATAATAGAAAGATTGCAGAATCATTTCTCTTATGATTTGAAACAATATATTCCATAGGTGTACTGCATTTACACGTAGCATAAATCATCCCTGATTATTAGAAGATTTTAACCTGTTGGTGTTGGTACTTTCCATATTTAGTGAAATTTCCTCTTGATATTTGAAATGTTCCCATTTCTCCTTATGCTTCCTTCCTTGAAATATCTACAGTTTGAGAAGAAAATGCTTGGTCCTCAGTAGTGTAACTTTTTCCCCTCTTGTAAAAGTTTTATCACAATACTTTCATTACAATTCATTATTTTTCAAAATTGTTGACCAAGAAGAATTTATTTTCCTTTTTACCTTGTAATAATATTGACTGAAGAGAAACCTTGGATTTTGCAAGCTCTGTTCACTTTAAGATGTATTATTTTGGTATATGGTATATATTCAGTGAAATTTGCTTTTAGGATTTGTTTTCCCTTTTGTCCTTTATTTCTTTTAGAACTAGTAATGTTGTTGAAGAGTTGTCTCAAATTGCATTAGCTGCTTTTCAGAAATGTCCTTTTTAAATCTATGTGTATATGCAGGAAGGCAGTTAAGGCTTTTATACATAATTTGCAAACAGGTCTTTATTTTTTATTTATTTTATTTGGTTTGTCAATTGCTTATAAGATAATAGGTATAAGTAAAAACATAGTTATGAATATATGGATACATATAAGAAAAATAAAAGAAACAATAGGACAGGGATGGTAGGCACATTGGTGCGCTTATGCACGCCCCCTACAGACCTCTTAGGAAAGGGGTGAGGTCAATAGTAGACAGTCTAAGGTTAAAGTTTTTGGGGTTTGGGGAAGAAACTACAGAGTCAGGTAGAGTATTCCAGACATTGACTACTCTGTTGCTGAAGTCGTATTTCCTGCAATCAAGTTTGGTACAATTAACCTTGAGTTTGTATCTACTGTTGCTCTTGTATTGTTATGGTTGAAGCTGAAGTATTCATTGACAGGTAGGACATTGCAATGTATGATTTTATATACCATACTTAAATCAGACCGTAGACGGCGTAATTCAAGGTTTTCGAGTTCTAGAATTTCAAGTCTGGTGGCATAAGGTATTCTACAACGAGTAGAGGAGTGAAGAACTCTTCTTGTGAAATATTTCTGGACTTTCTCAACTGTGCTAATATCAGATACGTAATGTGGGTTCCAGACTGATGAGCTGTATTCGAGTATTGGTCTAGCAAATGTTTTGTATGCTCTAGTTAGTAGTGCGATATTACCAGAGAAAAAGCTACGTAGGATTAGGTTAACAACTCTTAATGCCTTTTTGGCTATGTAGTTGCAGTGGGCTCTAGCACTTAGATCATTAGAGGTGAGTATTCCAAGGTCCTTTACAGAGCTTGGATCATCAACAAGATCTTGACTATTCAGCCTGTATTTTATTTTCTGATTTTCTTTGCCAGTATGTAAGACAGACCATTTATTTGTTGAGATTTGAAGTTGCCATTTGTTTGACCATTCTGATACATAGTCAAGGTCTTTTTGAAGGGTAGCAGTATTGTCTGTGGTGTTGAATAGCTTTACATCGTCAGCGAAGAGAACACAGTTGCACTTAATATGATCACAGAGGTCATTTATGTAGAGTATGAAGAGAGTTGATCCTAGAACATTGCCTTGGGGGACACCACTGTTGACAGGTACAGAATTTGATAGGACACTCCCAATTTTGACCATTTGTTGTCTGTTTGACAGGAATGCTTCTATCCAGTTATGCAGGTGTCCAGAGATACCGTAAGATTTTAGTTTTAGGAGTAGTTTGTCGTGTACCACTGAATCAAAGGCTTTACAGAAATCTATGTAGATTGTGTCTATTGCTTTGCCCTGATCGAGTTGTGTAGTCCATATGTTTTTGCAGTGTAAGAGTTGCAGATTGCAGGATAGTTTTTTTCTGAAACCAAATTGTTTATTAGAGTGTAGGTTGTTTGTCTCTAAGTGGAAGATAATAGATTGGATAATAATTGATTCCATGACTTTACAGGTGACGCAGCATAAGGAGATTGGTCTGTATTCATGTGCTTAGGCCAGTGAAGAGTATGATCATCTCAGCATCACTGTTCTGAATTTTTCATCACTTTCAACCAGAGCCTACTGAAAAGAATGAGACTACAGGCAATTTGGATTTGATTGAATTTAAAAGCTGAATACTTTTTTTTAAATTTGTGGATAGTATGAGAACATTACATAGTGAAAACAGTTTCTTCCCATTCGCTTTCTGTTTGTGAAAGGTAGATACTACACAGGTTTTGTTTCTAACCCAGAGCTATAAAGCAAAGTCTTTTAGATTAGAAAACCAGAGACTCCTTACTTTCAGGTTTTTTCTTTCTTTTTTTTTTTTTACTAGGCTTTGAAGTATCTTGGGATTCAGCCAACAAAAGAAGAACAAGAAATACTAAGGCAACAGCTACCAAGGGATTCTGAAGGAACAGTCTGTTTTGGAGGTAATTAAGTCAAGAGATTTTTAGGAAACTACTGGTATAAGTGAGATTTCAGAATTTTACATACAACTTTTCCTGACAGAAGTCACTAAATGTACTTCAGGGTTGGTTGGATATTTGGTCAAGCACTCCATAAAGCCCTTATGTATAATGTGTATAATATGACTGATTTGCATTCCCATTGAAAAGATATTTGTTACCCAGCACTTTCTTACTTACAAATCAAAACACTTGTTAGACAGCTTTATTTCAATATACTTAAGAAAAAGACTAAATGTGCAGAATAAATGAAAAGGAGGGTTAGTGAGTCAAATTTGCAGATGACAAATAAAGTTGGTTAAAAAGATCTTACTGTCTTTGTATTTTTGTTGTGAACTTTCCATAGATATACGGGTAATCATTAAGGGAACAAAATTTAGACAGACGTTATGCAGATATTACATTTTAGGATAGTGAATGAAAATTTAAGGCCTGATCCTGGGTTTTTGAGAGTGGTGTCTTCACATAACACATTTTCTTCATTCTCCTTGTTCTGCTCATCTTCACTATGAAGCAGGAACTGAGTTCTGCTCCGAGCTTATCAAAACTTATCATTTTTTTCTTTCATTACATAATGTAGTATTTTACCTCAAAAATACAATGCAAATTGAATTTTAATTCAACATTAATCAATTAATTAGGATTATGAGATTTAAGATTGCATTTTTAGCCATGGGCCCATCCCATCTTCAGAGCTAAGGCAATAGAATTCCCATTCCTTTTGGTGGTTAAATTTCTGTACTGTAATAACACAACAGCATTTTTAGAAGAGCTTCTCAACACACCTGAGCCCATACAAACTATTTCTCTTTGAATCTTTCAAATAGTCATTTTTTTTCCAAGTTAATACAGTTGCACAATAAGTTTGGCTGCATAAGTGTGCACACACATTCATTTATCTTTGCACCTATACTTCCTCTGAAGGATCTGCATCAGTTTTCAGATCAGTTAGAACTGGCTATCAATTAGTTACTTCTTTAATGAAAACTGTAATTTATCCTTACATTTGGTCTATATGACAGCAATGGTGTGATGTTTGCTTTTCAAATATGAAAAACAAACCAAGGTTGTGCTGCTGCACGCAATTTTAGTTTGGAAGGCAATCGCAAGACCATAGCTTTCCATTTCATTTTTATTTCATGCTAGTTTACCTAAATGATTCTGAATACATGAGGGGGAGAAGGAGGAAGTATCCAAGTTTTAGCGCTTGTTCTCTTTTGTGCTTTCGAGTCAGACTTGACTCTTGGTGACCATAAAGAAAAGTCCCTACAGTTTTCTTGGCAGTTTAGAGCTGAAACTGACATTCTGAAATACTAAATAACTAACAGGTACTAAGTTGTTTAAGGAAAAATATACGTTGACTTTTCTGTGGTTGACATTACAGTGTTGTCCTGACTTAAATTATATGTTAGATTTTATTCAGGTGGCAAGAAATTTATTTTCTCAGCAGCTGGATGAGACTGGTCATAGCCCTGTACATGAAATTGCTAAATTACTAGATTCACAGGTAAATAATATAATTCTTATCTCCAAATAAAAAAGTGGTGAAATTTTGATGTGGAATTCCTTGAAGACTTCCAGCCCACTGTGGCCTTTCAAAAGGATGACTAGAAAAGATAGAGTATCCTAGGAGTTCTCATAGCAAGGAGCAAATTACTTTCAATGCTATTATACAATTATGGTTTTCCACAAATTATAGCTAATGTAGGTGCACAATGTAGGTTTGTTTAAAATAGTCTTCCCAACTTCACTTGAGGGCAGTAGGTGGAGAAAGCTTATATCAAATAATTGTGGATGACAAATTAGGCTCTAATAGCAGCAGGGTCCTGATGCCATGGAGTTACAGCATCTTCGATTAAAAACTTTTTCTTTAAAAGAAATTAAAAACTTTTTCTTTCAAAGTTCCAGCAATTATTGAAAACTAACCATTGGATGATAATCTTCACTTGCTTTCCTACTGCTGTCTTTCATGAGTTATTTGTCTTGTTGCCATTTTAATTATAGCTTGTGAGAGTTTAACTAGATCAGTTGTGTGCATATTTATTTATCAGTAGTGAATAACTCAAGCTTGCTTTCACGAATGTAAAAAGCATTGCAAGTTAAACTACTACAGGTAGTCCTCAACTTATGATCCCAATGGAGCCCAGAATTTCTGTTATAATTCGTTGTGGTCATATGTTGAGGCACTACATGACTGGGCTGAATCATGTGGTCTGTAAGCGAATCCAGCCTATCCAATGGGCGCTTTTTGCCATTTTCTACCAGAAAATGGCAAAAAAAAAGTCACAAATCTCAATCATGTGTCTGCAAAATGCTGGTAACTAGCTATAAATGTGAGCCGTTTGCCAAGCACCCAAAATGTGACAACTGTAACTTCAAAGCCAGGCGTAAGTTGTTGTTTTTTAAAGTCCATCATAACTTTAAATATTTGTTAAACAATCAGTTGTAAATCAAAGACTACAGGTACAGTACACTACAGGTAGTCCTTGACTTACAACAGTTCATTTAGTGACCAAAGTTACAACAGCAATGAAAAAAGTGACTTATGACCATTTTTCACACTTACAACCTTTGTAGCATCCCTATGATCATGTGAACAAAATTCAGATGCTTGGCAAACTGACCCCTACTTACGACCGTTGCTGTGTCCCAAGGTCACGTGTTCACCTTTTGCAATCTTCTGACAAGCAAAATCAACGGGGAAGCCAGATTCACTTAACAACCATATTACTAACTTATCAACTGCAGTGATTCACTTAATAACTATGTCAAGAAAGATTGTGAAATGGAGCAAAACGCACGTAACAAATGTCTCACTTAAAAGAAATTTTGAGCTCAATTGTGATCATAAGTAGAGGACTACCTGTATCTATTATTTCAAAATCTAAAAATGAAATACTTCTCCACCCACCCTCTTTTGTTGTACCTATGGTTTTGTAACTTTATAATAGTAGAAAAGAGTTTTTGTTCAGTGGGCTGGATGAAAAAGCTTAAAGTATTAGGTTAAATAACAGACATCTTATTATTTTTCTGTTATTTGTATCCATATATTCCCTCAATGTCTGCATCTGATTTTTTTTTTCTGCATACAGCTTGTATCTTGTAATCATTTGGAAACACATGAAATGGAACAACTTAGGAAAGAGAAAAATGAAGCTTTGAAAGAACTATGTCAATTGAAGGTGACATTTTGCTTTGATCAATTAAAACATCCGTGCTAACCTTTGCTTATTTTAAACCTATTGCAGTACTTATCACTTAATAAAAAGGTGACCTAAGTGTAGAATGATTAAATAAAATTATTATTATTTGCTATCTTTATACTGTACTGTTAAAACTTGCTAACTATGATGCAGTTTAATTTTGTTCTTGCTATAATAGAAAAATAGTATAAATGTCTCAATGCCATTTTGGACAGGGAGAAGAAAATATGCAGCAGTGATTGGTTCTTCTATAAAATGCCATGATGTATCCATATAACACCTGCTCCATGAGCTGTATTGGTTGCCAATTAGCTTCCGAGTACAATTCAAGGGCTGCTTGCAATTTATAATCCTTTGTGACCTAAGGAGGGCCTGGCTATCTGTGTGACTGCCTAGCTCTGATATTTCCTACGCATCCTGTATGATGGGTGGGCATGCTCCAGGTTCCATCAATCACACAGTGTCACCCGATGACACCAGGAAATAGGATTTTTCTATCATGGTTCCTTCATCCTTCCAGATACTCATATGGCCCCGATCCCACCTATCATTTAAAAACATCTTTGAAAATTTGTTTCCTTGGGTTAGGGTGAATGACGATGTTAGGATTTTATATATATATCTGTTTAATGTTTGTTTTTTTTTGCAAGAGACATTTTGTTCTTTTGTGTTGTTGTTGTTTTGATGTTGCACACTGCTTGAATCATCTGGATTTGGACAAACTTCTTAAATAAATAGAGTCCTGCCCCAGCTATTTTTCGCCAGTAATTATTTCTGGTTGCTTTTTAATTTATATATTAATATTTTTAATCCATTCCATTCCCATTGGCCCATTTTATTTTTTGTAAATCTTGGGGGTGGGGGGTGGAAGTTGAATGAAAACACAACTTATTTTTTAAATATCTTCCCTGTTAATTAGGAAGAGGTAAAGTGGCTTGCATGTTAAATATAACCCTTGGAGACTACTTGGGTATATCTATGCAGTTTTTTCAGCAACAATATGGATGTGTTTTGCTATTGCCTTCTGGGATATTTTTTCGAGTTCCCAATCTAGTCTGTAAGAATTCCCTGGTGGCTTCTCTTCCAGCTTCCAACCAGACCCAGCTTGGCTGAGCTTTGCAGCTCTAGACAAGGTCAGCCAAGTGCAACGACATACTGAGGAAGCTCCTTTGGGAACCCTTTTGTTTTATTGTATTGTGTGGATTGGTTTGTTTAACTGATATTGCAACAACTTCCATTGTTGTTGCTGTTGTTCTTAAGGTCTCTGAGCTTCCTAAACGATGGCCTGCTCAGTAGACTGACTCAAGATAGCTTGCGACATAGACATCCTCGTTTAGCTTTTCATTCAGAAACCAAACAAAACAAAAACAAAAAAATATGAATCATATAAAGCTGTGCTTCTTAACTAATCCTGCTACATACAACATACCGTGTTGCAACATATTGTGCAGCAACAAAATTCATCAGATGGTGACCTGTGCTATAAACTAGATTTAATGAACAACTAATTCGCCATATTAGAATGTCTTGTAACTTGATAGATGTACCATATGCCAACCTTTTATACTCCCCTGAATCCATCTAATGCTGCTATCTTTTAAGTTTCTCACTTTTTAAGTATACTTTTTAGTTTTTCACTCAGGAATCTATTATATCTTATAGGTTTTCATAATTTTTTATATTTTTTTTAATTTTTACTCCTGATGTATCCTTTATGCTTTTTGAATGACTGTATCCCACCTTTCCTATGCTGGCCTATGACCATAATAAAGCTTTGGTTGATACTTCTTAATAAGAAGCATAGATTTCTAGTCTTAAACATGTGCTGGGATTTAAACCTTTAATAAAAGTGTTGCTCAGTGCAAGATTTTTAAAGGCTGTACTGGCGAATGGTTTCTGGCGTCATAATTTTTGTTTCATTAGTTCTCTACTAACTTCATGAAACAATCACTGTTCCTGTGTGATTGCCTGCACTAAGAGTTAATTTGTTAAGTAATTTAAAAAAACATTTGTTTGATTATGTCCTTGGATACGTCCCCAGGAGAAAATTCTCTGCAGACTTCCACAATATGTCTTCAATGCTGGCAACGTGTAATCGCTATTGCTACCTATTTCAGTGACGTATTGTTGGACCATGTGCATGCTTTAGTTTGTAACACCATCTCTTTAATTTTGATTATTTTTAACTATGGGCCTCACTGAACTTATTTATGAAAAGCTTTGATTAAGTGGAATTAGGAGGGATTGTTTAATCAACTGAATTAAACGTGATGAAAGTAAATAGAAGTCAGAAAGAAGTAAAATACCTATTGCTACACATTACAACAGCTGCCAGAATAGCCTTTGCACAGGTATGGAAAACCCCAAATACTCCTACATAAAGTAACGGAAAGTGCTGAGATGAGTATGTTAACAATGAAATTGAAAGAAAAAGATGACTCTGAATTCTTCTTAATTTGGAACAATTGGTATAAATGGCTAACAAACAGAACTAAGAAATGAGACAAAAAGTTTATCCAAAATAACCCTTAAGAAAGTAAAACAAAATTTTGTAAACTATATAAAGATGTAAGAATAGTAATCATAGTTAAACCTATTATTTAATATTAGTCAAATGTAATATAATGTCAGAGACTCTCATATGGGGAGGTTCCCTATGATTGTTTCTGTAAAGATGGGAAATTGAGAGTTTTTTTATCAGGGATTTTTAGATCAGACTTTCCCAGTGTGGACAGCAACTGTCATCAATAGTTGGCTGCACATGATAGGAGCTAATCCAACACATCTGCAAAGCATAGGATTGGAGATGCCTAACTTTATAATTATTTCCACAAATGCTTTGAGGCCCCACATAGATAAACGAAGCTTGTGTAAGAATATATTCAACCATACCCGGAAAAAGTAGCAAGTGGCACCATGCTGGGGAAAGGGGAAGAGGAATTAACAAGGGGCATTCTCACAGGCTGTCTTCTAGTGTGGAGGCTGTTTTATGACTTGTTCTGATAACCATGACAGCTAGTCTTCAAGAGCACCCATAACGTACCAGACTCAAAATGACCTTTAAAAGGACCTGATGGGGTGGAGTGCAACCAAGAAAGCAACCAAGTTACTAGCACTGATGAGGTTACCTGGTTTGACTAGCACTGATGGTTGTTGTCTAATTTGGGAAATGGAAACATCTGCAAGAAAACAGCCAAGCTCAGAGAGCACCCTGGAGCCCCTCATTTCAACCCTGAGCCACATCTATTCTTCTTTAAAGGCTGCCTGGGTCTCTGTAGGAGATCGCCTGCTTAATCCAGCATGCTGAGCTAGTTTGGAGCAGAGGAAGAATATGTGTCTGTGAACACACAGCCCTAAACTCCATTTCCCGTTAGGAAGAAATTCAGTCACCTTGGTTCATTTGTTGCAGAAGGGAATCACATCTGTATGTATGTGGTGGAGTATCTGAATTGCACTTGCAAGTTCCCCAATTTTTAAAACAAATTATTCAGTGAAAAATTGAAGTGTTTCATTTCTTTTGAGGAGAGCACGATTCCCCATTTACTTGCATCCTGACTGATGTTTCCATTGCAAAAATGGCAACCCAATTAGAAGTTTCCTCTTTCCAACTAAAATTTGACCTATTATAGTCTTCCTTTAACAATATTGTGGAGAACATTGGTTCCTTTTTCCTCTTTTGCCCGCATTTTTATATCTTTTTCTAACCCACTATTTTAAGGCAAATTAAGCATTTTTCTTTCAACTATATATATGACATTGTCGTGCCTTTCCCACGAGGTCTCATTCATTAAGATGCTTCAGACAAAAAACCTTTTTCTTCTTCTTCCTTGCCTCCAACCTCCCTGATTGATGTGCCACACAGTGATGTCAAGCTGTCAGTTCACTGCTTTCAGATGCCATTAGGAAGGAAATATCAATAAAAATAACAAGCCTGTTCCATTTTTTTCCCCACAGAACCCAAATATCTTCCTTCATATTTAGCATTGGAAGCTAACTATAGTTGCTGTTCATTTCATTGAACAATTGCACATCCCTAATTTTTAAATAAGCAAAAACAGCTGCAGGGGGCATTTCCAGAATGAAGGGGGGGGGAGAGATAGTACATACAGGTAGTCCTCAACTTATGATCACAATTGAGCCCAAAGTTTCTCTTGCTAAACAAGATAGTTGTTAAATGAGTTTTTCCCCATTTTACAACCTTTCATGCCACAGCTGTTAAGTGAATCACTCCAGTTGTTAGTAACATGGTTGTTAAGTGAATCTGGCTTTCCCATTGACTTTGATTGTCAGAAGGTCGCAAATGTGATCACACGACCCTAGAACACTGCAACTGTCATAAATATGAGTCAGGTACCAAGCGTCTGAATTTTGATCATGTAACCATGGGGATGCTGCAACAGTTGTAATTGTGAAAAATGGTCATAAGTCAGTGCTAACTTTGAAAGAGTCACTAGATGAACTGTTGGAAGTCGAGAACTACCTTTAATAGCTGATCTCCAACATTGTGAAAAAGAACAAACCAACCAATCTGATGAATGACTTTCTCCTATTAAAAGGCTGAAGCATTTCTAATCTGCTCTTCTGATTGCTACAGCTTACTCTTGACTTGATTGCTTTAGTAAGTCTTCAAAGAAAATAACAGATTTTGATTAGCAGTCAGGAGAGCTTGGCACTCCCTGTAATGTAGCTATAGTTATCCTTGTAGAACAAAAGGAGCCAAAATGCTGTTTCTGTGCATTTGTGTATTATGTCACATATTGTTGTGGTTAGCTGGCAGCAGGTACAGATGGCTGAGGAGAGCGAGGACTCAGATAAGGGGCCAGGACCATTAGGGAGTGGACTGCTGCCTTCAGAGATTGTGGGAGCTGACAGCAGCGATGAGGAGGTTCCAGAGGAGCCTGTGCCAAGTGTGTGTGCGCACAGGGCTGCTCTAAGGAAAGAGCAGCTGCAGCAGCATGGGCAACTCGGGAGTAAGGCTGCAAGGTAATGGCCCCTCCTTCAAGAAGATAAAAGCCAGCTATGAATCGGAGATTCTTTGTAGGAAGCAAAGACGTTTTGAAACTCGAGCCTCATGGTATTTGAAGACTCTTGTGTTGTAAAATATTTCTAGGTAACCTTATCTGTTATTCTTGGCAGCCTCACACAGTTTTGAGGAGGTTCAGGCTTATCAAAGTTAATTAGTTTGCAGCAGCTTTTTAACCGGGTTTTCGTAAGAAAAATTAAAAGGTTCATGTTTGTTTTATTGGAAAAAGGTTTGGGTCAGAACACATGCACATATTGTGATTAAGTAGAATTTGAAGTATCTCAATGGAATGAATGAAAAAAAGAAGAAAAATACAGTAGAACCTCGGGTCACGACCGTAATCCATTCCAGGACTACAGTTACAACCCGATTTGGTTGTGGCCGGAAGCACGACCGTCTGCACATGCACCTACAGTTCTACGCACGCGTGAAAGGGGAAATCGCCATGGCAAGGAAAATTGCTGTGACAGTACTGATCAGCACCCGAGGATCTGTTCACAACCAGAAGCAACAATTTTCCCAAATTGTTGGTCATCACCTGATTTGGTCGCGAATAGGGGCATTCGCGACCCGAGGTTCTACTGTAATTGAAAAAATTGTGAGTTTAATTTAATCTTAGTATTTCTAAGAAAATAATTCTTGGTTCCTGAAGCAACAGGAAATTTTCATTAGACCTGCTCAGAATGTTAATTTTGTCACCATTATATGATCCCAGATAGGAGGAACACTGAGTTGCAGCCCATGTTTTTATTTTTTAAGCAATAGTCACTAATGGAACAGTACAGTTAATAAAGTTGGATTAGGTGGAGTGGAAGGAAAATGACTGGTTCCTCTCTCCAGTAAGGAAAGGAGGAAACTGCACCGTTTGCTTGATGATAGTATAGGTGGTTGCTTTTTATGTCCCTGACAGAAGCAGATTCTGGCAGGTGGTCGGTGAAAGATATAAGTGGGTAATTGATTTTTGTTTGTTTGTTTATGGTGGATAGACTCGGAGCTGATGAGTATTAATCAGAAGCAGCCCACAGGCCTGGGAGGACTGAATGGTCTTAATCAGGGGTGGGATTCAACCAGTGTTACTACTGGTTCTATGTCTGCTGCTCTTCAGAGCTACTGGTTCTACAGAGCCAGGCAGAACCGGTAGCATCCCACCCCAGTCCTAATGATATGGGATAGGAGGGGTTTCTAGGGATTTGGGAAGATAGGACAAATGTGACTAGGAGGCAGATGGGAACACCCATTGTCACAGGAAGAGCAAGATAGAGCAGGTGCCTTTTTTCCTCTTTTTCAAGAGGCAACTGGACTTTCTGGTTTTTCTTTGAAGAAGTTTCGCTTCTTATCCAAGAAGCTTCTTTAGCTCTGACTGGATGGTGGGGAATGGAAGGATTTATATACCTTGCAGACAGCTAGTCATTTGTATTCTTTTAACGGGTCGTTAAGGTCACCTGGAGGTTTATCTGTCTCAGGGTCACCTGAGTGGTGGAAATAGGCGTGGAGCCTTCTTGGAACTGCTGAAAGGACTGTATTATAGACTGCAGATAGATGATGCCATATCCCTCCCCCTCTGCTAAGAGAGGGCTGTTCAATTTTGACGTAGATGGCCTCTTTGACCCCTCTTTCAAACTAGTGGCCCTCTCTGTCCAAAATGTGGACTTCATTGTCTTCAAAAGAGTGGCCTGTGTTTTTTAAATGCAGATGGACCTCCTGCATCTAATCATGATGTGTTTGTTCTGAAGAAGCTTCTTGGGTGAGAAGCAAATTGTCTTCAAACAAAAACCAGAAAATCTAATTGCCTCTCAAAAAAAGGGGGGGGGGGGAAGCACCTTTGGGACAATCATGACCTGGATGACTGAGAATCTCCATAGACAAGGAGAGCAGGAAACAGGGGCAGCACCATACTTTGAGAAGAGAGTTTCAGATTCCCAGAAGCTTTGGTCAATTTTCTAGGAAGATGAAATCATTTATTTGTCAGGGTTCCGGCAGTTACTCCAATAGTTTTATAGTTGACATTATTAGTAGTTGCTATAACCAGCCAGATTTTCTTATATCAAAATGTCATTGTATGATGGGAGGTGGTGGGGTAAAAAAATCTCTAAATTTAACGGCTTATCTTTTCTCTGTGTATGTTTTAGGAAGAATTTGCAAAGTCAGAACGTGTGAGAAAACAACTAGCTGAAGAGCTGCAGATTACCAAACAAGTGGGTAGAGTATCTGTAAAATTAAATTAAGCAATTCAATCTGTTTTTTGGCCCCCAGTGAGACATATTTCTTGTTTCTGACATATCTGTTTTCCATATTTCATAACTTGATTATGTAGTTTATGATATACAGGTAGTCCTCAACTAACAGGTCGCATTAGGGACCATTCAAAGTTACAACAAATCCTGGAAAAGCTACCTATAACACGGATTCAAAGTTCTGACATCTGTCTCTGCACCCACCTCCATGGTCACGTGACCGCATTTGGTTGCTTGGCAACTATCCTGCATTTACAACTATTTGCAGCATGCCGCAGTCACATCACTGTGATTTACAACATTTTAGCAAAACATCTCATAGCAAACAAGGGGTTCACTTAACAACCGTGGCATTTGCATAACAATTATTGCATTCATTTAACAACTGTGGCATTCACTTAATTAACATCCATGTTGTTGCCAATAAAAAGGTTGTAAAAATCTGATCTGGTCACATGATAACCTGTTTTACTATTGTCACAAGTTAGGACCAAAATTATGGACTTGATTACGGTTGTAACTGAAGGGCTACCTTATAAATATCATCATCATTTTAGCCATTGTCTATTCACTGCAGGATGAAGGCCTCCCACATATTTCCAACCAATATGGTCCTGAGCTTTCTTTTGCCAACGGGCCCGCAATATTTGCTGAATATATAGTTAAGCTTATAAGTATATTGCTTAATAAAACCAAAGTCTCACTTTTTCACACAGAAATAATTAGAATTAGAATTCTTTTATTGGCCAAGTCTGATTGGACACAAGGAATTTGTCTTGATGCAAATGCTCTCAGTATACATAAAAGAAAAGATACATTCGTCAAGAGTCAAGAATCATAAGGTACAACTCTTAATAATAGTCATAGAGTACAATAAGCAATCAAATCATACTAGGAAACAGTCAATATAAATCATAAAGATACAAGCGACAAAGTTACAGTCATACAGTCACAAATGGGAGGGGATGAGTGATAAGGAGTGATGAGAAGATTAATAGTAATAATAGTGCAGACTTTGTAAATAGTGTTGAGGGAATTATTTGTTTAGCGGAGTGATGGCGTTTGGGGAAAAACTTCCTGCGTTTAGTTGTTCTGGTGTGCAGTGCTCTATAGCGTCATATTGAGAGAAAGAATTGAAACAATTTATGTCTGTTATGATGTGAGGGGTCTGTAAATATTTTCACAGTCCTCTTTTTGACTTGTGCAGTATCCAATTCCTCGATTGAAGGCAGATTTGTAGTAATTGTTTTTTTCTGCAGTCCTAATTATCTTCTGAAGTCTGTGTCTGTCCTGTTGGGTTGCAGAACCAAACCTGACAGTTATAGAGGTGCAGATGATAGACTCAATAATTCCTCTATAGAACTGCATCAGCAGCTCCTTGGGCAGTTTGAGCTTTCTGAGTTGGCGCAGAAAGAACATTCTTTGTTGTGCTTTTTGATGACGTTTTTGATGTTAGGTGTCCATTTTAGGTCATGTGATATAGTAAAATCTAGAAATTTGAAGGTTTCTACTGTTGATACTGTGTTGTCTAGTATTGTAAGAGGTGGTAGTATGGGAGGGTTTCTTCTAAAGTCTACCACCATTTCTACGGTTTTGAATGTATTCAGTTCCAGATTGTTCCAGTTACACCACGAGGCAAGTTGTATAACCTCCTGTCTGTATGCGGATTCGTCGTTGTCTCGAATGAGACCAATCACTGTTGTGTCATTTGCAAACTTTAGTATTTTAATAGATGGATCGTTTGAGATGCAGTCATTGGTATATAGGGAGAAAAGAAGAGGAGAAAGCACACAGCCTTGGGGGGGTGGGCTGTGTTAATTGTACAGGTATCAGATGTGATTCTGCCTAGCTTCACCTGCTGCTTCCTGTCTGTTAGGAAGCTTATCCACTTACAAGTGTGTCCAGGTACTGCTAGCTGGTTTAATTTAGTTAGAAGAATGTTTGGAATGATGGTATTGAATGCTGAACTGAAGTCTACAAAGAGGACCCTTGCATAGGTATTTGGAGATTCAAGGTGTTGTAGGATGTAGTGTAGAGCCATATTAACAGCATCATCTGTCGATCTATTTGCTCAGTATGCAAACTGCATGGGATCTAACAGCAGATCCATGATGGTTTTCAGGTGGGACAGCACAAGCCTTTCAAAGATTTTCATAACTACAGATGTTAGAGCAACTGGTGTGTAGTCATTCAGTTCCTTGATGGAGGGTTTCTTTGGCACTGGGATGATAGTAGAGAGTTTGAATTAAGAAGGAACATAACTTTCATAAGTTATTAGTTTCTGTCCATTTTGTGTTTTTATCCAAACAATGAAAGTGAGGTAAATAATTCTAAAATGGCTTTCCCCGGAAAAGCACATTTGACTCCAATTCTATTGTCTTTTCGGGGCCAGCCAAATCTCTCTTTTTTTCTTTCTTGCCAACCCTTCAATTGTTAGCTTTATGTGGCAAAATGTTCTGCTAATTATTTTTCTCTCTTCTGTTTTAATTTCTTCAGTGTAATGTTATGGCTATTTAGTTAGTAATTATTTAGTAGATTGTTGACTTCAAATCTTTAAATTCCTTACCTCCCTCGTTTTCAGAATTTTGTTAGCTTCTCCAACCATGACTTTCCCTTTCTCACAACCCATCAGATTATATTAAGTGCATTAAGAATTTTGTTCATGCAAAGCTGGCAATGTGATTTTAATGAAGTTACTGCCAAATAAAATAATAATTTGCCATTTTTCCTGATGCCTCACTTTGCCAAGTAGTTCTTATTTATTTATTTATTATTTAAATAAATAAGCTGTAGTGGCACAGTGAGAATGCAGTACTGCAGGATGACTCTACCTACAGCCAGGAGTTGGATCCTGACTGGCTCAAGGTTGTCTCAGCCTTCCCTCCTTCCAAGGTCAGTAAAACGAAGACCTGGATTGTTGGAGGGCAATATGCTGACTCTGTAAACCACTTAGAAAGAGCTGTAAAGCACTTTGAAGCTGTATGTAAGCCTAAGTGCTATTGCTAAATGTTTATGGCCGCCTACTCAATACATAATTCTGGGCGCTAGCCATCCATTTAAATAGCTAATAATAAACAAAGATAATTTAAAAACAGCACATTGTGCCAAAGTAATACAAAACACATAAAATCACAGCGCTAAGACAGCCTACCAAATAACTTGGCCCAATACTCAGGAGAGAAATCAAGTTTTCCATGACTTGAAATAAAAAGGCCAACATAGTGAGGCCCACCTGAATCTCCAGGAAAGGTTGTTCCACAGGGAGCACCACAACACAGAAAGTGTGGCACTGTTTTATAGAGAGGACCCAAAGCCTGCCCAACTTATCAGAAGGGCAAGCAGAAACAATAAGAGTGGGAATTGGCTTTGGGAATTCTCAAGCTTTTTTATTCTTTTTCTTGGAGCCATCCTTTCTGCAACTATTAACAATACATGTATTTGCAACTCTTTGGGTCTGCTTTTCCCAGCTGTTTCTAAAGGAGAAAATATACAGTATATTAAAAGTAACTTTACACAGTCAAAACAAAACGAAAGAATCGACTAAGCTTGAATGGTACATTTTAAAAATAGAATTTGATTCCCTGTAGGAAGCCAAGGCATCTGTGGAGGAGGCGAGAACCTTGCGAAGCAGAATCCATCTCGCAGAAGCAGCTCAAAAGCAAGCTCGTGGAATGGAACTGGACTATGAGGAAGTAATCAGTTTGCTGGAGATAGAAATCACCAGGCTGAAGGCTCAGCTTGCTGATCACGGTGGCCAAAATAAAGTAAGCACCTCAGTAGTCTCTAGTAGAGTTGCCATGGTTTCCTTGCTGTTGTCAAGTATCCTGTTTTTCATTTTTCTTCCATTTGTTCTCCTAAAATAGGTCACTGTTTGTCTTGTGCGATTCAAGAGCTGGAATTAACGTGTTGTAAAGGGAAGAGGGGCATAAAAGCTATAAACTTTTTTTCTTGAGAGAACTGCTTGGGAAAATATGAACTTTGGCTTCATTAGCCAGTATGACGTAGCTCAAACATATGAAGCATATTGCATTGTATTTGATCTATATTTTAACCATACAATGGATAAAACAGTTTCATTTTTATTTGGAAATTAAAATTACAGTCCTATAAACATTTAATTCAGTCTGAGTTCCAGTTAGCTAGGGGTCCTTGGTCTGCATATTCATTTTAGTTATTTCATATAAAACATTTATAACCCGCCTAATTATGTAGAGGATTTTATGGTGGTTAATGGGTAGTAAATATAGAGGTTGTATAATCATTATTTCATTTTATAAATGTTTAAAAATTAAAGCTTTATTTCAAACGCTTTTTTTTTAATGCTGAAATTCAATTGCAGCTATAGTAACTAGATATTCTATCTGATTGGTGCATTTTCCAGAAATGATACAAGGCTTAAAGCAAAAACAATTAAGTTAATTTTGCAATTAGTAGAAATAGGCTGCAACCCATAAGTTCAGTTTATTGTAAATTTTATTTACTTTATAACAGACCACAAAGAGTGAAAGATTCTTCAGTTTTCCTAGAGAATAATGGACTTTCCAGCATACAGCAGACTAAAGCAGGGATCCCCAATAGCTGGCTGGAGTATTCTGGGAGTTGAAGTCCACAAGCCTTAAAGTTGCTAGGTTTGGAGACCTCTGGACTAAAGTAAAATTCATTGCCAGCTTGAGAGCTAAAAGTAATGTTGACCCTTGAAGGAAGCAATGAGATGAATCACTTAATGACCGCACCGATTTGCTTAATGCATTTTATGAATTGGAAATTTAACTGTAGTCTTAGGCATAAATACCTGCTATTGGGTGGATCTGAGTAACATGGAAACCTGAAATTAATTATAAATGAGGAATAGTAGCAAGATTTTAGAATACATAACAAGTGGAGGCACTTTTTATTCCATAGGCTACAAATATATTTAAATATAAAGTTGTAATTTTGGAAGAAAGGATACTTGTAATGTTTTTATCATCTTAGGGCTCAGGATATCGATGACTAACACATAGTATGCATGTCAAAACAGGTTCACGGGTTCACCTTATTACATCCTAGCTTAGCCAAGAAACAGTACTCGAAGCTAGAACATACAGAGGAATTGTTACACCATTTAAAACTGGTTCAGCTCTTTTCATTCCTCTTTCAGATTGCTAAAAGAAAAACAGTTGGTTTGAGGGCAGAGAAGCAAAATCTACCTTTTCCCAGCAAAGTGTGGTTCACACAGAGCAGAAGTAAATTGTTTTCCTCTACTCTTCCATAATCGTTTTGTTGTCTGAACTGGAGGATCAGATGAAACAGTTAAGCTGACCGTATACCACATAGTTGACCACATGCCACCATCAAACACTATCCACACTGTGAATATCTGCCTCTCAGTGTGACTGCCTTACTCTGCTTGTAGAGGAAGCCCTATTTTTTTCCTTATCCTTGTCACTGATAGATGTACAACCCAGTTAGCTGGTGTAAAGCTAGTTTGCTCCGCTCCCGGCATGGTGCACTAAGGATAGGCGCCTAAGCGCTGAACAGAATGAAGTAGCATTCTGGGTTGTCAGGACTGCACTGTCTGTCTAGTCTTTGACATTGTATGCCATTTGCTAAATAAATATAACCCATGAAAAGGAATATTGCTTACACCACAGGAGCAGTTTGTTCAGGATTACAAATGAAGGAAATAATTTACCAACTTTAAAGGCATTGGACTGCACCTTTTTTAAAACAAATGGATCGGTTTCTCCAGTATTTTAATCACATTTAAGTTCATTTGACACCCCACTATAAAATACTTTATTTTGCAATGTATTGGGATGCTAGAACAGATCTTGATGCAAGTAATGTTTTGTTTTTTTTTGCTTCTTTGTTGACTGAGAGTTAAAAAAAATATCCTTACCTTGGTATTTAGATTGTAGTGTTTTTGTTTTTATTTGATTTTTTTTTCCCTAGGAGAGTGTGCAAGATTTAAGAAAGAGGATTACTGTGCTTGATTGTCAATTAAGAAAATCTGAAACAGCCAAGAAGACCTTTGAGGTGGCAACTGAAAAGTTGCTAGAATTTGTTGAGGTAACAGCAAATTCAAATATCATTTTTCCCTTAAAGGGGTCAGAGCATATTATTATTTAGCTGTTTCAAAGATGTGTTATTAAAAGTTATTTAATTGCACTATTATTAATGGGTTGAAAACTTATTCTTCTTTTCAGTAAAAAAAAAAACACCCTAAAAAGTCGCTTTGTAAACATGAAAAAGTCTCTGTTCAGTTTGACACTATGCAAGGTTTATGAGTATTTTATATGATTTGGCTATTGCTGCAAATCTAGGGTTTGTAATTTAAGGACCACAGAATTGTAAAACTAGATTTTTTACATTAGACATTTCTAGATTGTCTCAGAAATTCAAATAAGACATCATTGAATGTTTTTCTGATTATTAATACAATGTTTAATAAGAAATATTTGCTTTGGCTTTTACTTTGTTAGTTTCATTAGTTTTTATTGTTAGTGTTTAACTTGTTTAGTGGTACAGTACATGATGCCAACTCTAAAGGGATGTGGCTAATGCTGCTGTTTCGGTTCCCTTTCTTGTCTGCCTTCTGTATTAACTATAATGGTTGCTTTTCTAGCAGATCACCAGGGAAGGTAGACGAATCCCTGACATCAGATGCGTTTTTTTCCTTCCGCCCCTTAGGAAATCCCCAAAGACATTCATTAATAATACTGTTTTTGCCATCTCCAGTATCCCCTCTCTAGTTCTCCCATTATTATATCCTACAGTTTCACATCGACATAGAAGCTTTGGGACAATCTGTTTGGTCAAATCATATGAGGGAGTTCTTGTTTCTTTCCTTTTTGATTGCATATCTTAGATACTGCCTTAGAAATCTATCCATAGCATATGATTTGGATAACATATGGGGATAATTTTCATTAAACTACTTTTATTCCCCTAATTTGAACAGTGGACTGGGGATATTTCAAACCATTCTTCTAGTAATGGCAATAGCACTTAAACTTATATACCACTTCATAGTGTTTCACAGCCTTCTCTAAGCAGTCTACAGAGTCAGCATATTGCCCCCAGCAGTTGGGCCCTCAGAAGGATGGAAGGCTGAGTCAAGTCAGGATCGAACTGGCAGCATGGTTCTAAGTGCCATGGGGTAGGACAAAACAGAAGTTGGCAGAAGCAGCTTGAGAGAGAGGTGATCTTGTCCATATCTCACAAAGTTAAGCCTGTCTCCAACTTTATCTCTTATGCAACACTACTGTTAGGATTGTTGGCAGATTACAGCATGACAACTGCAGATTGGATGCTGATTTGCTTGCCTATCCTGATACAAAGGCAGGAAATTCATAGGCATCTGAAAGATTAGATTGTTAACTGCTGCAGTGAAGGCAACTGAAAGAATCAAGAACCATTAAGAAAAGAATTAACTGCTATTGACTTCAGAAAGGTGTGAATTGTTACCAATAAAGCTAACATACCTTAAGAGACAGGTACATAAAACTGATTTCAAAATGTAGACTTGGAGGACTGATGATTATACAACCAGTAAAAGAGAAAGTCATGTTATTTTTCTTTTGGAAATTATTATTTTATTTATTTTTCTTATTTCTACCATTTACCTGTAGACTGTACCTGAAATGCTATTACATGGCAGTAGTCCTCCAGTCACTTTGAGGTAAGAAATATGTGCTATTGAAATTTCCTTGAAATTAATACTTTTAACTCTGCTAAGAGGCAAAGAATCCAAGAACTATTTTTATACTTTGGTACTATTTGCTTACAAACCTCATACAAAACCTTTTTGCAGATTTTTTAAAAATTAGCTTTATAAAGTTGATATCCAGAAGATTCTGTTTGATGAAACAAGTAGTCTTATTTTGATACGGATAGAGAGAATTGACTCCACAGAAATATCTGATTTGCCACGGCTGAACAACTGAGTTTGTTACACAAAGTGGATCTGAACATTGTTCTCAGTTCCACTCACCTATCAGTTGAAACTTTTGTATTCATGTTGAAAATTGTTTTCAGGGATTTTGAGAATAGAATAGATTTTGGGGTTAGAATCTATCAGAATACTAAATACAATATAATCCACCTTCCCTTAATCTTTCAGAACAGAGAGATGTGTATATAATATTATACATGACTTCTACCTACAGTAATTAATGATCTTTCTCACATATTGATGTAGATCACTGTCATGTTGATTTCTAGCTCTCACTGTTCTGTTACAATCTAGTGCAATCATTTATTTATTATTCACTCTTTTATTTTGGCCAACAGACCTATAAAGTTCAATAGACATAATTCTAGTTTAATCATAATAGTATGTTAATACACAGTACTGGTACTGGTACACAGTACTTTTTGCATCAATGTATTACTTTTCACTCAAATTCCTTTGCTTTTTCCAAGTCCACCATGAATGGTGAATGGTTAAAAGTCCCCTCTTCGTCTTCACACTTCCATCACATACTTAATATTCTTTTATACATTTTAGACTGTGTAAATCAGGTCATATGCCATTGATACGTTATTTTATAATACCGTGTTTCTCCAACAATACGGCCTCCACCAATAGGAAGGCCCAGCATGATTTCTAGGCATGAGGTGCAATTAAGCCCCGCCCCCAAAATTTAGGCCTATTTAAACCATGCGTTTCCCCGCCATTTCTCACATCGTTCCTTAGAACTACATGAGGTGAAGAGAAATGGGGGGGGGGAAGGGCGGGGGGGATGGGGAGAAAACTTGCCTTTAGGAGTGTCCTGCAGGCAGCCTAGGCTAGAATACCCCGATAACCGATAGAAGCTCCCCGAAGGCAGAGTCCCCAGCCGCTTCAGGGTGTGGCATGGCTGCCCGTGTCCCTTTGCCATTAGGCAGTCTCTTTCGGGCGATGGAAGCTCCCCAAGTGCAGTCACCAGCCACTTCGATCGGCCGGTAGAAGCAGCCTCGTGGCGAGGGGAGTGTGCGTGTGCGCTCGCCCTGAGGCCGCTTCTACCAGCCGATCGAAGTGGCTGGTGATTTCACTTGGGGAGCTTCCATCACCCGAAAGAGACTGCCTAATGGCGAGGGGACATGGGCAACCACGCCTCGCCCTGAAGCGGCTGGGGACTCTGCCTTCGGGGAGCTTTCGTCGGCTGATAGAAGCAGCCTTGCGGCGAAGGGAGTGCATATGGGCCGCTCTAGGTGGGGGAGGAAATTAAGTCACCCTCGAAAAGACGGCCTAGCCGTTTTTTCGGGGGTCAAAAAAAAAATAAGGCCCGGTCTTATTTTGTGAGAAACGGTATTTCTCTCTTAAATTTTGACAATGTAAATTTTAAACTAGTTTCTCGCATTTTTTACCATATATCCATATTTATAACATAGCCAAAGTTTGCAGCCCACTTCACCATACAGTGTTTAACTTCTTTGTCCTCTGTTTCAAAAACTGGTATGAACTTATATTGAGAAATATTTCAGCTCAGAATAAAGTGTTCTGGTAAATCAATCCTCGACTAGATATAAATGAAAATGAAAATGCATTTAGCGACCTAAACCAGGGGTTCATAATCCCACTACTGGGCCTTACGCCGTTTGGAACTGGGCTGCAGAAGTGGCAGACAAATGTGTGCACTTCTGTACTTGCACAAACAGTGGGCGAGCACATGTGTGGGCATGCGTGGGCACTCTATTTGCATGAGCGGCAGGCGCATGTGCCCATTGCTCACACAGACCCATCCCATCTCCCCCACCTTTGCTGGGCCACAAAGACAGAAAGGTTGGTGACCCCTGACCTGAACAAAAATATTGCAACAGTGAAAAGAACAACATTTTGGGGTTTTTTTTTCTGACCATTTTATCCAGTGACAGGAAAGCCACAATCTCTTCAAAAATGCTCCTTGCACATCTGGGACGGAATGGCCACACTCTTGCAGCATCTCTTGCAACAGAAGCCAAAGAACTTGCTAGATCCGTCCGGGCTATTCTAGAAGCAGATTGTGAGTTTTATCAGATTGTTCTTCTTTTTCTACCCTCTATTTTCTCTTCATTTACCTTTCTTTTCTACCTCACCCCCTTTTTTTGTGCTTTTTTAAATGTCCCTAAAAAAGAATATTTGACATATTTTGGGTTGTGCCATGAATTCATTATGTGGTTTGTCAAAAGAAAGGAAAACAACCATCTGTGAAATGTTCAAATGGTGACAGATGTAATAATTTAGAATGATCCACTGTATGATATATACTTGGGAATTTGGAACTACATAATTGAGAAAAATGCTTGGCGTATGCATTCTCAGTCTATCATTGTACCTATTCTTGTTTAACTGCAAACATGCAAAACAAAAACTAAAAGGAGCAAATTGTGATTTCAAATAGATGAATCTTTCAAATTACGTGCTAATTATCCCAAATGTTGTTTCTGCCGGTAGTATAACGTACAGAGGAAGTAGTCACATCTTCATAGTAAGCAGAAGTGTAAAAAATATCAGTTACATTTAAATATACTGCATGGATGGAATTTATAACAAGGCCATTCTAAAAGTTACTGAGGGATCATCTCCTATTTCTTCAAGAAGATACGTGAGCCTGGTTGGCTAAACATTATTAATAGAGAAACTGCTTCTGAATTTATATACAGGTACAGTAGTTCCGGATAATCATAAAGCAGAACCAACCCGATTTTGCAAACTTTTTTGTGATCATAAAGCAAACGTTGCATTCATTAAGCAAACCAATTGTTCACTATAAGCCAGTTTTGCCAAAACTGGAAGTAAATGCTGTTTTTGGCAAAAACATTGTAAAAGGTTGTCACGTGACTGTGGGATGCTGCAAACGGCTGTAAATGTAGGCCATTGCCAAGCACCCAAAATGCAGTTACATGACTGAATGGGGAGCCCAGTCATCGGAACTGAGTTGTATGTATCCCCAGGAAAGTCTGTCATAACTTCTAACACTAATTAAGCAAATGGTTGTAAGTCAAGAACTACCCATAAGTTGGTATTATTCACTTAGTTACACAGTGAGTTGGAACCAATCACCTGTAGCTGAAACAACAATCCTTCCTTTGAAGCATATTTATAGTTATTTCCCATTGTTATATAAATAAGCAAACCTGTTGTGTTAATTTCAATATTTAATTTGTAAAAAGCCAAACTGGAGACTTTTGCCCCTGAAATCTTTTATTATGTTAAAAAGTGTATGACACTGTAGCACTCTGTGTATCTTCTTTTAAGAGACTATCCATTTGACTCAACAAGATAATTATACCAATTTAATAACGGTTTTCTTTTTTATTCTAAAAAAATATCAGAATACTTATGGCAGCAACCCGATAAAGAAACTACATATATGTTTCAGGCTAAATCATAGTTTAACTGTGATGAGAACTCCTTGCATAGATCCAATCCTATCCTGTCCTATCTTTCTCCACTGTGACTACAAAGAAGTGTTTGGACTTTTTTCTTCAGATTCAGATTAACCAGTTGCTCTTGCTTTCTATGAAGCAACAAATTTGGGTTAAATTTAAATATGATATGCTAACTTACAGTCACGGGCTATGTGTTGAATCGAATATGGTTAAGAATTGAAATGATGCTACATTTTGACATATTAAAATCAGAAATAACAACTTCCAAAACCTTTACCAAACAGGAAGGAACCTGAGTTCCTAACTATGGGATAGTTAGTTTTTCCATGGATTATTGTTCTATAAATCAAATGCAATTAATATTTTACTTAATGAGGAATGGCAATATATTCAGCATTAAGGAAGCATGTATTTAACAATGCACACTTTTCCTTGGCAACTACCTAAATATAAAACATCCTTTGTTTTGTTTTTAGTACTGTAGAAGATGCAATATTTGCACAGGCATTTAAAAGGAAGGAATTGAAGATCTGTTCTATTAAATTATTCTGGAGGAATATGCTTAATGCTTAGCATCACAAATATTTTTTTATATTTTTATTTTGGAAGTCATTTATATGTTGAACAATCTTACATAGTTTGTTTAGGTATTGCTTACAGTTTCAAATTGTGATGATCACAGTTTCAGAAAAAGAATAATTCATCATTTAAATTTGTGTAATCCTAACACACATACAGACACACACTGTCATAGTCATCCTTGATATAATAATAACATTAATTATCTATTCCCTTTCAGTCTGGAAAATGTTGTTAATGGAATTCAGATTTTAGAATCAAATGGGAAAAATAATAATTGACCTTGCTGATGAAAGGAGCTTGGATTTTCTAACTCAAACAAGACCATGTAATTTATTATTCAAAGTATTTATGAAATACTGATAATGCTGCCAAAAGGTTAAATGCTTCTTCTTTCAAATGTATATTGCAGTGCTTTGAATTAAGACTAGATCAAAGCAAGTTGCAAACCAGCTTATACTTCTATAAGAAAATGTCATAGAGAACTCACTGAAATAATAGTCAATTTAAGACAATATCTCATATAATTTTTTATCATCGCAGAGTGACTGCAAACTGAATGTTATGTAGGACACTGGATTTCATGGGTCTATAATGACAAGCATTTTAATTTGGCCCAAACTTTTTGGATTAGCCTGAAAAGGCTATGTTTTCTACACACAGTCTCACTGCAATTTCTGTCCATTTTCCACACTTATCTTGATTGATAGGAATGTCAAGATTGTAAGAGAGAGTAGGGCCTCAGTGTAAAAACATTTAGGAAAATTAGATATAGTAGAAAACATTTTCTTTCCTAATTTCCAAAGATGCTATAAATGTAGAGATGCTACAAATGTAGACAGAAAGGATATAAAAACCCTTACAATATGCATTTTTAATGAGTCCCAGCACCTGTGTTCGCAATCACAGGTACATCAGTGTTGAGGTAATTCCCCGTTAGGAAAACGAGCGCATACAGGGAGACGTATTTGAGAGTAGTGTTTGAATAATACACACACAGCACACAGATACACTGTACAGTAAATGTAGGTTTTTACTTTCAATAAAGGTTTAAGCAAAGTTCAAAACACAGTCCAAAGTCATTCACAGGTAAATCAGTCAGTTTTCAGTCCAGGGATAATCCAATAACAAAGTCCAGTGTCAAAAACAGTTCAGTATCAGAATTATATCAAATCCAGGAATATCAGTCAATTAGTAGAAACGGCAATACTCTCCAACAGAAGGAAAACAGAGACTCACTGAGACACACTCTCTTCTGAGATTAAGACTAAGACAACCCAGATTTCTGGCTCCATCTTATGGCCATTTGAGAAACCACACCCAATTACACTTTTAGGATTCTCTTAAAGAGACAGTATTAAAATGTCTATCCTGGTTTATATATTGTCCAACCCAAATAGCTGTTAGGTGACTTACATTCCTAACAATCAGTAATGTCTAGAGGCTAGGAATGGAGTTTTTACATGTTTATGGCAGTATCCAGGGAATAATACTTCTAAATTGTCCAATTTTTCTGTTCCTCCTGTTACCACATCCTAATAAGTAAGATAAAAGTGGTTATGAATAAAGCTTAGATTGGTTTGCATGATGGCCTGTCAAAAGCTTAGATTGGTTTGCATGATGGCCTGTCAACCTGAGCCACTTGTAAATAGTGAAAGTCAATAACTTTATTGGTTACCACCTATGTTACCAGAATCTCACCAGACTGCTTGCCTTCTCTGGGAATGACCAGATAAGGCTCATGGATCTTGGGGGAGCTAAACATGATGCCATTTGCAGCTGTACAAGGACTCTAAGAAAAATCCTCACTTGACCCCTTCCTCCCAGCCTACTTGACAGTTTCCCAATATGGCCCCAGTTCAAGCTTGTTTTATTTTTCTGAATCTTTGGAGGGTGATAATTGAATACACGCCATCAAGTTAGTGTTGACTCTCAGTGACCACATTCACCAAGATGATCTACCTCTAGCCTTGTTCTTCATGTCTTCCAATAGTGCACCACTCACCACTATGATTGAGTACATACATCTGTTTTTGCTTTTTTTCATTTTTCCTGGCATTATGGACTTTTTGAGAGAACTGGGCCCTTGCATAATGTGTCCAAAATGCAAGAAACTAAGCTAGCCATTTGTGCCTCGAATGAGAACTCTGGATTGATTTGTTCTATTATCCATTTGTTTGTTTTCTCAGCTATCTATGATATTCTCAGGAATACTAACAATCTTAATAAAGATCCCTACATCATTTTCAGTACAAAATATGCTTCTATAGCAGGGCTGTCAAACTTATGGCCCATGGGCTGGATGTGTCATGTGCTGGCCACATCCATGCCCAGTTTAGCAAAGGGGGGGAAAGTCCCGAAACGTCACTTGACACCGTGGCAACATGAGTTTGACACCCCTGTTCTACAGAGCGATATTGTTGATATCGTTCTACAGAGCGTTATCGTTCTACAGAGCGATAACATGAACATCTGAGAACTTCAGAAGGAGTCAAGAGAGCTAGTAAAACCTGTGGATCAGCTGATCCTTGGATTTTTAACCAAAATACTATGAAAAATGCACCACCCATGAATTAGTCAACTTGTATTTTCCATAGTATTTTGGTTAAAAATGCAAGGAACTCCTTATCTATAGATGGGCTTATATATCAGTGTACACGGGAAATATAGGTGCTTTAAAACATGTTACTGCAAATAAGCCTATTAGTGGATAAGCTAAACCCGATTTTTTAAAATACATGTTGACATCTAAAAGTATTGGCTTATCTGTGAGTATATATAGCAATGAAGCATTTTTTTATATGAGAGACTTTATTGGGATGGGTTGGGAGGATTCTCAATTTATATCCATAAAGTTTGCGAATTATAAAAAGCCAGAATACTTTATGAATATGGTTGCATATAACATTCTGCAAAAGCCAAATATTCTTTGCAGCCAAAAGTGTAAGCCAATGGTTATTAGCATGGTTTTGTTACTTAGTTCTTATTTAATGTTCAACAGGTATTTTAAGGGGAAAATGTATAACACATGATGTTGGTGACCATGATTATA